GAGGGGGTATGACAACATTTGCACCTGGCCAATACAACTTTGGTTGTTGTACAGTGGGAAGCCCATGCTTTGTAATTGTTCATGCTGCTGTTTCTGTCTATGAAGATGGTTGCTGCAATGGAGCATCCCCAACTGATCCTGTTCCAACCCCAGGAGCCACTCCATCAACAGCTCCAAGTCTTGTTCCAACAATGGCTCCTATCAGCCGCACTGTGACATCATTCCCTACACCGGTCACAACTCCATCATTGGCTCCCTTCGTAGATGATGTGCCAACCTCAAGCCCCATGGTTACTCCATCTGTTGCTCCAGTGGTTTCTCCATCCATGGTTGTCATTCCCACCACTGTGCCAACTGAAGAAGGTCCGCCAGGGACCAACCCTGCTGATAAGGATTCTCCGAGTGCCATGCCAAGTGCCATGCCAAGTGACAATCCAACCATGTCACCAATGTCATTGACCACAGCAATTCCCACAGTTTTATCCATGGAATCACAACCACCGAACGCTCCTGTACCCGCTCCCCCTGTTCCAACACAAGGTCTCGATTGTGAATCATTTGATTCGGAAACTGCATTTGGCGAGCCAACAGACCAGAGCAATTCAGTTCGAATACCAACTCGATGGGGTTGGTATTGGAGCACATCAAGTTTTGCGGCAACGATGTCTGAAGTTACCATGGACCTGTGGGTTGGTGCGGGTCAGTACAATGATATGAATGAAGGCACATTCGCTGGATCTGTCTCGGTGACAGTCCAAGAATGTCAGTCTTTCAACCCCTTGTTTGCTTCTGTTGATTGGACTGATGCATTCATGGAGCCGGGCAGCTGTGTAAGCAGCCCCCCGGACAACAGACATGTGCATGTTGGTGAGCAGCTGCCTATGGTGGGGAAGGGCAAAACAACGTTTGCACCTGGCCAATACAACTTTGGTTGTTGCACAGTGGGAAGCCCATGCTTTGTAATTGTTCATGCTGCTGTTTCTGTCTACGATGATGGGTGTTGCCATGCATTGGATAGTCCAAGTGCCAGTCCATCTGACCCTACCAGGCTTACTAGCTTCAACCCCTTGGACCCAGTGCCATCAAGCTCGCCAATGTTGCCAGCTCTAAGTCCTGTTGTCATGGGCTCAGCCAGCCCTGTGACCAATCCAACGTCAGTTACTGGCAGTCCCAATATGATGACTCCTGTCATGACAGGAGGCCCAACCCAAGTGGTGACGCCCAGTTCGCCTGTACCAGCAATTCCAACCAAAAACCCTTTGCCGAATCCTCCTGGCAATGCTGGTGACAGACCCAGGGGCACAATGCTTCCTTCGATGGTGGCATCAACAAGCAACAAGACCACTATTCAACCCAACGATTTCAGGACAACAACACTGCCCCCCATGAATTCAACAGCAAATGAGACAATGGCACCTTTCAATTTTGGCTTCCCACCAATGCCCACCACTTCCAGTTCACCTGCGAGTAGCGTTCCCGTGATGTCTCCATTGCCTAATGAAACCTGCAGCATCGTTGAAAGTGGCACACTTTTCAGCAAGCCAAATCACAACAATTATTTTACACAGATGACAGGTCGCTTTGGATACTACCATCACGAATGGTACTTTACCGGCAACGACAGCGCCTACACGATGGACACATGGATGGGAACCGGCACCTGCCAAGAATCCCAATCGCAAAATCTTGTGTACGCAGGACAGATACGTGTAAACGTTGCTACCTGTGGCTGTGATGATAACAGTCACAAGTCAAGTGTTGACTGGTCTGAGGTGCTTGAAGCCGAGAACCAGACTGACCTCTGTCTGCGAAGTGAACCGTGTGAACGATATGTCCACGTCGGGAACACCTTGCCCACGACCTGTGGGCACACCTCCTTTGCACACGAGCATTTCCAGCTTGGTTGTTGCGTGGTTGGACAGCCCTGTTTTGTGATTGTTGAAGCCACTGTTCATTCATACGAGCGTGGTTGCTGCAGCTGCGATAGTTCGCCTTGAGCTTTTGCATGCAGGTAACTGTTTGGACGCTGAACCTAGTACTTAGAAGACTATTGATGCCCAAATAGGTGGTAAGAATTTAATCTGCATAGTTCAATCTTTCTTTATGCTAGCTAGCTAGCTATTAATAGTTCTCTTGAGCGACTTCATGACTCGGTTTGACGAACATCTAATGCATTGACGAGGTGTGGCTTCATGGTGCTGGAGAAGGGGGAAAGAGCTGAGGATACCGAAGCCGCTTTCGCCGTTGCCTTGCTGGCATTCTAGTAGCTGAAGCACGCAAACGGGCGCAATCACCCTTCGTTGTTGGCTGCTGCCTGAAGCTACTAGTGGGAAGGCACGCCAAATGGATGTGATCGGGAGGATGCATTGGGTTGATGAGCTTGACTTTGACTTGTCTTTTTTGGTATTCACGAAGAAAAGAAGACCGTTTATTCAAACGACTCGCCACTCGACTCACCAAGCCCGCATTGTTCAAGTACAATATGCAGCTGTGATGGACAGAATATCACCGAAGCCGTCAACTTGATTGAAGATTCGATTCTAAACATGATACCGGTATGTCCCTGCGAGAAATCCACACGTCCACCCTTTCAACGTTCGTGTCCACCGTTACTGTCCTCGACCTGAAGATCTGACACAGCTCGCTTGACTTCAAAGGATAGAGATTGGCAATGCATGCCTTTTGCGGATCAAGCATCACCGTTCGAACACTCAACGTAAGGGTAGCTCTCAACAGGTCTAGAACCAAGAATCAGACGATGGAGGCCACACAAGGCTTGTAACCGGTAATATCATTGATTTTGTATCTAGAGGCCCTTTTACCTTGAAGCCAGCCGTTGGAAGAAGGCGTCCTTTTCTGGCTTGACGGTGTCGATCCAATCTCTCTTGTCACGGGACCGACTGCGCAGCATTCAGGTCAGTAGTTTCCCTTTGAATCTTCACTCCGGAAGACAGCATGTTCAGGCTCTTCGTAGAGCAATGCTGCATGTCGTAAGATATCATCACGCATAAGAAATCTTGGTCTTTGTAGCATAAGCCTGTGCTTTTTGCCTCGCCCAAAGCTATACTCTTTGGAAGCGAGAGCCTATCAACGATGTTGCGGTCTCCTACACCAAATACTGGGGCACTCTCTCAATAGATCCAGCATGAGACTTGTTTGCATTGATGTGGAAGTTGACGAGATCTCCCAGGATTCCACTTCTGTCGCCAGTAGATCGACAAATTCCTCGCGAGATGTGGTGCACGTGCGGGCCTTGGCTCTCCCTGACATGTTGAGCTGCAGCAGGTACCGAATCTTGTCGTACGTCACGGCCTCCCCTCCAGTGGATCGAAGCTCTACAAAACGCAATGTCGTATTGACTTGGAGCACTTGTGCCAACGCCTTTCGCTTGTCGTCATTGTTGACACAGGAAACAATATCAAAGGTTTCAAGGCTGATGTTGCGTTTCAAGGCATCAAAGATTTCGTTGTGATCGACAGAGATGGTGTTGGGAACCCGTATAGCTTGCAGAGAATTGCGACTGAGGAGGGTTACCAGCGCCGCCGTCAGGTTGGCCTGGGCTAATATCGTACGATTCCAATGTCCCCTCTCGCCTCCATCCAGAGTCAAACTTTTGAGGTTTTCAATCGAGGCAAGGGCATTGCCGAGAGCATCCAGCCCAGTGGATGGAAATCCCTCTGGAAATTTCAAAGTAATGTTGAGACTATCCAAGGAATTACAATTCCCCAGTGTTTCCATGACATGATTCCAGCCAATCAAGTCGTTACTAGTGGGTAGTTCCCGAGAGAAAATGTGGAGGCTGAATTTGGTCAGTTGCGGCAGCAGCTTGGCCAAAGCTGTAAAATGTGGCAATGAGATATCACGGACTGTCTCGTGTTTTTTCCTGACAAGAGGGCACTGTTCCACAATGTACTCGATCACTTGGACATTGCCATGGCGAGAGGCAAAGCCTTGTAGCAGTAGGTGCTCTTGTTTGCTCAGGCTGCCTGCGGGAGAATCTGCTTGCACAACAGCTTTCACTTCTTCCAGAGTATGCTCGCGCTTGAACAGTAGATAAATCGGATAGAGACCATCCAACGTCCTCCTGGAGGCAGCCATCGGCAGCCTGTGCGCCAGAAACTGGACCACGCCAGGTTGTGTGCGTTTAGTCTTGCACGCCCAATGAGTGGCAAGAGCCGCAAACTGTTGGAAGTTTCGATGGATGAGGGATGAGAGTCACAGAAAGCTTGAATGGCTTTCAGACTAGCTCGGAAACAAATGAGAAACTCCAGAGGATTCAATCGGATACCTTGGGATGTGTAGAAGAGTCTTGTGGTCAGGTTTGGAAATTCTTGGCAGAGACGCAGAATCACCTCTTCTTCCTCCTCGTCCAATGTACTCGTTTCATCTTGATCATACACAATCTCAGCAATCTCCCCAAAGGCTTCCTTCTCTTCGTCGCTCAAGCCGTGGTCGCTACTCAACATCATGATCCGTAAGGCTCTAAAACTAGCTAGCTCTAGCTACTAGACTCTATAGATAGATGGACAACCTCCTCCTCCTCCTTGTTAGGACTCGAGGTGAGGTCGCTTGGTTTGGTGTTGTTTGTGCCGGTAAGAAGCCAGCAGCACTGGCAAAATACCGGTTAGCGCTCGGGTCGTGGTGGATGCACTCGACTGCACTGACTGTCACTCCATCCAGCCGTTTTGCAATACACGGCTCTTAGCCTTATTCGCGACTCGATCCTAGATAGGGTTTGAGTTCAACTCATGACTGAGTCTCTCGTGAATAGTCATTGAGACAGGGTTCTCAATGACCGCTCTAGTCATACTAGGTTGATGATGAAACATCGCTCTAGATATTTAGCCAGCGTGGAGTACTTCCACGCTACTAGATAAATGCTAGACGAATCTTCCACGCGTTCCGTTTTTGGGGAGTGAGTAGGATTGCTACCGCAACCTACTCTATCACACTCTACAGTCTCCCGCGGGAGTTCAGATCTACGATCCTTTGATTGTGGATCTCTCTCGTTGATTAGTTTTCATAGCTTTCTAATCCTCTCATAACTTTCATTCTCTCAAACTCAAAACACTCGAAAGATCTTTACACTAGCTTTTAGTGTAGTGCATTTTGTTAACAAACACAATAGCTTTCAGCTACCCTCAACCTATTCCTCACCATGAAGATTGCCAAAGACGCATACACCAGCTTCGAGTCTAAGCTGCGCGACAAACCAATCCTTCCTCTCATCGACCTCGACGATGAATTCGAAATCGACGATTCTCGCTCTACCACCTACAAACTTCGCACTGTTCCAGCAGATGCTAACAGCGCCAAGTACACCTCAAGGTCCAAATCATCATGGATCTGAGATCTCCACGTCAGACACATTCAAGTGGCTGGACGCATGGAGTAAGGTCTGTTGTGGCTCGCCATTGCTACGACTTAACGACAAACATAACCTCCTCAAGGAGATGACTTCAAGCTCTGCCAAGAGCAGTTACGAATTTAGCTTGCAGGCCATCGTGAAGTACGTTCGGATGCTTGCGCCAGAATTGCACTCAACGGCATTCTCCACGCGGACATACACTGTGCCGGGTGAAGCGAAGGTTGCCACGTTTCCTCAGCGCGTTTCCAGGGCTGCCTGAACGGGCAGCTCAGCCTGCTTTGGACGATGCTTACATTACGTTTGGCTAATTGCCTGTATCGAAGCGGTACTGTCCCACAATGGCTCTTGAAAAGCAGAAAACGCTTCATGCGCCGCAAGATTGCGTAAGCCTGCTGTGATATGTCTATATCGGGCTTATGTCAACACTCAGTCGGATGAACACCTGATGAACTTCCTCCTCTACAAACTTTTGGACCAACCAAACGTTGAACCATGACAAAGTTATTGACATTGTTTGTATGAATTCCACGCTCGTGATGAAGAAGATGGACAGAACACGACTTCGAATCTTTTCACTGCCTATCGGAGAACTATTGGATTCTGCGAACGAAGGGAATTCCTCCGAAGACTTGACAAGGGCGGTGATAACAAGCACAGCTCCTATCGAAGAAGAACAAACAGCAAGAAGTACAAGTTCTACTCGCAACAACGACCACACCCCAAGAACGAAGAAAATTGGTGCGACTACCACGAGTCCAGGACCTCACAACACTGCTGACTGCATGCATCTGAAGAAGCTCAAGGCAAATATCTCAGTCCTCGTCTGACAACGATAACAAACCAGCGTACAACAAGAACAAGACTGGAAACGGCAAGTGCGACGACGCCAGACCATACACAAAGAAGGAACTCTCTGTCCTCATGAAGAAGTTTCCAACGCTGCGGTCAAGGCTGATCGAAGAGAAAAGCGAAAGCAACCATGTTGCCGCGCAAGTCAGACACTCCACAACGAGGACGACTCCTTTTGGATCCATCAACATGATGGACAAGAAAAATGCTGCCGTGTGAAAAGGCGCTTGCCGAATTCGACTTCAATCATTCGGATGGGAGAGATCTCCGTCTGAGAGATTAGGCCAGGATAATGATTCAACGGAACCGTATCCGATTTCTCAACCAATGATGAAGATATCTCACTAAATAGTAAACAGATTTGTTTGCAACTAATGAAGTCTACGGCAAATTAGATAATTCCTAGGAACTACTCAACTAGATTCTGACGATCTGTTCAGCTCGTTAACTTCGTCCATGGCCAATCAATCATCAAACGTCGCAAGGACAAGAGCCCTCGAAACCTACGTCTATGTTAGATTTAACAGACGAGAACAAGGGAAACCAAAACCCGTAACTCCGTTGCTTACTGGATTTACAGGAGCATCCGGAATTTTAATTACTCAAACTCATGCAAGGAGTTTACTCATGAAGAATCTTGTGGGCGTCTTTTCCTTCAAACATTACGGACTGCTTTTATGAAGGAATCGAAACCCGCACGAAGTGTAAGGCACACTCTTGATTCCTGAGTTCCACGATTATAGAATTATTGATGGAATTGCACGTCACCAAGAACTTGGGGGGCGCAAGACATGATCTGGTCAAGACACTCTCTTCGAGCTAAGAATCAAGTTCGATTTTCACTACCATGTCATTGTAGTGGAACAGCGTATTTTCCCTGCAAAAGATGGCAATACCAATAAAAAGGAGAACTTATCTTTTTTGTTCCCCCCATTTTTTTTCCCCCGATGTTCCCTGGGGGCAGGGGGGGGGGGGGGGGCGGTTTCCCCAAAGCCGGAAAAAAACAATTTTTTTTTGGGGCAAAAGGGAGGGGTTTTTTTTCAAGGGGAAAGATTCTGGATACGACATACGAACAAGCAGACTAAAGGCAGATGTGCCAGAGTCGAACCCAGTTAAATAAGAAAGAGCAGGAACTGCCTCATGCCTTTTCAACAAGTGCTTCGGCACCAGTCGAGGATACTTTGGGAGAGTAGCGAATGGACGACTACGAAGTCAAACTTCGTCCCAACCGCTAAATCCTATTATACTAGGCTCACCCTACTCCACGGGGTCCATACCAACACTCTTAGAGGAGAGATTGAACGTCTCTGCGAGGCAGGAGTTCTCAAGAAGGTGAATCGTTCCAGGTGGGCGGCACCAACTTTTTATCATTCCCAAGAAAAAAGGATCTGTACATTTCATCTCTGATTTCCGGGAGCCGAACAAAAGGATCAAGAGGAAGCCTTATCATATCCCAAAAATACAGGAACTGCTCTTGAACCTAGATGGATTCAGGTGCGCTACTAGTCTAGACCTGAACACGGTACCTATCCACTCGAGCTGTCACCTCACTCTAAACAACACAGTTGTTACATTGCACTCCCGAGTGGGAAAGCACGGTTGTACCAGAGGGTGGCAATGGGCCTATGTAATAATACCGACATCTTCAAAAGGAAGATGAAAACACGGCTGCATGACTTAGAAATGCCTGTGCTTATATTGATGATCAACTCTCTACTGACGTCGATCTGGCGGATCGCTTTGAATAGTTAGATGACCTTTTACAAAAGACTTCAAGAAGACGGAACTGAAATCCACACTACCAAGCCTTCCTCGAAAGGAACAACTTGAGTATCTAGACAATTTGACTACTCGAGAAGGAATCCAACCCTTTAACTAAAAAGATAATAGACGCGATCCCACTATCGCTCTTCCTACCAAAAGGAAGTAACTTCGTGGATTCGTTGGTCCAATGAACTACCCAGGGCTGCTCCAAGACAGCAGACGTAGTAACCATCGTTCTGAAACAGACGCTGGTTACCCAGTATCCATGACCGGCCGAGGTTGTCATTGACAGAGAACGTGAGTCCGCGCAGAGGTCGAGAAGACTTCTCCGGGATGAAACGTGGACTTCGTCGCAAATTCACGCGCGTCATCGTGACAAGATTCACACATCCGTTTCAAAGCAAACACGCCGGAAATACATTAAGGAACGTCGCCACACGACTTATCCAGAAAAAACACCGATAAGGAAAACCGAACGTGTCCCTCATCAACACACATGTAAACGATACTATGATGATTCATCAGTATCAGAACGTTAAATACGGGTCAGCCCAAAGGTCCTTACCCACCAGACCGAGTCAAATAACAATGGCACTGTACGTCCCGACATACTACCGCCAGGAGCGGCACAGTCTACCAGCACTTGGAACATAGAAGGTATTTACACCCATACAAGGCCCTGATCCCCTTGTAGGATGCCATCGTGCGACGCACATGCTATATCCAAATCTCGTGAGAGTGCCCCGCACTTTAATTCAATTGTTCTCCTTGTCCGACGATGTCGTCGCCTTCCGTCGACCCTTGTCAGAGGGCGAATGCAATACACGGCTCTTAGCTTATTCGCGACTCGATCTAGATAGGGTTTGAGTTCACTCATGACTGAGTCTCTCGATATAGTCATTGAGACAGGGTTCTCATACGCTCTAGTCATACTAGGTTATGATTAAACACCGCTCTAGATATTTAGCCAGCGTGGGTACTTCCACGCTACTAGTAAATGCTAGACGAATCTTCCACGCGTTTCCGTTTTGGATCGTGGAGTGGTAGGATTGCTACCGCAACCTACTCTATCACACTCTACAGTCTCCCGCGGAGTTCAGATCTACGATACTTTGATTGTGGATCTCTCTCGTTGATTAGTTTTCATAGCTTTCTAATCCTCTCATAACTTTCCTTTCATTCTCTCAAACTCAAAACACTCGAAAGATCTTTACACTAGCTTTTAGCGTAGTGCAGTTTCCATCCATCCGAGGAAAGGGGTAAAACTGGATGTATCAATGGATTTTTAGAGCCTGTCCAGACACTACATCGCGCGAAGCCAGGATTTGAAGCAAAAAAGTCAAGGTTCGCATTTAACTTCGAGTTTATAGGTTCACAGTTCTCTACCCTTTCCACACACTAGAAATCGATGATGCCAAAAAAGGAAGCGAAAATGCAAAGTTAGATCATTGGTTTCTTGCCGTTGGTATCATCCGCCGTATTGGCATC